TTCAGCCAGGAGTCTTTTAAGTATGATAAGTATGATAAAGACATTGAAATTCTTAGTATTGTTAAATGGTCTAGATTTTTAAATTTATGGTGCTAATTTAGTTTGATAAATTTTAAAGCTTTAAAAGTGACATTGAAGATCTGCTATATTAAAATCCATAAGTACTAAATAACGTCTTAATTTAGATTTGAATTGCGGATGTGTTTTTTCTTTAATATTAACAATATGTTGAAAGTTTTTCCACAAAATTGGACCCCTGTACTAAATAGAATAAGAACATAACTTTAGATTATACTTTTGAGTTACAAAGTTATTTTCTGAGAATTTGGTGGGGTATTTATGGCTTACTTCTCTAAAATATGGATAGAATATCGCTGGAGACAGTCCATGTTTTATTTGATACATGAACTGTATGACGAGGAATATGTTAAACACATTTAATGCATTGAGTTTACGTAAAAGTGGCTCACAAGGCACAGTTCTTTTTACTCCATATACAGTTCTACATGCATGTTTTTGTTTAGTATAAATTTTCTTTAACTTAGCGTAGCTGTTGCTTGCCCAAACGATATTGCCGTAAGTTAGATAGCTATGTATGAAGGAAAAATATAAACTTTTTAGAGATCTTATATCCAAAAATGGTTTTGCTTTACACATCATTGCAATGTTTTTTGAAAGTTTTCTTTCAAGAGTGTTTATATGTTTCCTCCATGTTAAATTTTCGTCTAAAATAATACCTAAAAAGTTTACAGTTGTTTGCCGAGTAATATTTATATTATTGATTTTAAGATTGGGTAATTTTAAAGGAAGGTTTCCTGTTTTGGTTGGTTTGTGAAATAGAATAAATTTAGTTTTGTTAACGTTAAGTGAAAGTTTATTACAAATAAATCATTCATTTACTTTGTTTACTTCTTCATTAACTACTTTAAAGAGGGTTTTAATATCCCTATGAGAATAAAACAGATTGGAGTCATCAGCAAACAAAATAAAGTTAAGTATGTTCGAGGTAAGAGATAGATCATTTATATAAAGAGAAAACAGTAACGGTCCTAAGATTGAGCCTTGAGGAACTCCACATTTTATTATACTTTTTGTCGTTTTAACATTTTCATATTGAATGTATTGCTGTCTGTTTGATAAGTAATCTTTAAACCATAGTAAATTATTGTTTTTTATTCCATAATGTTTAAGTTTTTTTAAAAGAATGATATGGTTGACTGTGTCAAAGGCTTTAGACAGATCAATAAATACTCCTAATGTAAAACAGTCATCATTAAAGACATTGGTTACATGAGTTACTAACTCGGTCAAAGCGTGATCAGTTGAATGATTTTTTTTAAAGCCAAATTGCTTGTTGTACAACATGTTATTTACTGTTAAGTAGCTGCTTAGCCTATTATACATTATACGCTCGAGTAACTTAGAAAAGCATGGTAAAACTGATATTGGTCTATAATTTGAAGAATCTGTGTCATCGCCAGACTTAAAAATAGGCAAGACCCGTGCAATTTTTAATTTTTCTGGAACTGTTCCAGATTGAAGAGAAAGATTAAAAATGTGATATAAAGGAGTTTCTATAATATGAAAAACTGATTTAACAACATTTATGCTAATATTATCAAAACCTACACTTGTGTTGTTTTTAAGATTATCTAGAGCATATCGTAACTCATTAATATCTAGTTTAGATTCGTCCATGACCTTATCATATATTTTTGAATAAGAATCAAACGATGACGAACTTGAAGGAATTTTTTCAGCTAAGTTTGGACCAATATAAAGAAAAAAGCTGTTTAGATTTTCAGCTACTATTGACTTGTCATATGTAATGTTACCATCTACTAAGAGTTTCTTTGGTTGTACTTATTCCATTATTTTTTCTGCCAATAATTTCTTTAATTACGCTCCACGTACTTTTGGCATTTCCGTTAGTTTTTTTTAACAACTTTGAATAGTAAATTTTCTTTGATTGTTGTTTAGTTTTTTCAAATATATTTTTATAAAGTTTGTAGTTTGTTTCATTTTTATACGTTTTTTTTTTAAGAATTTAAATATTATCATCGCAAATTTATACGCATAAGTTTACTTTTTGCGCTTAAAAAAAAATTCCTCACTTTCGGTATCTCATAATGGATGGTGTCCTTCAAGTTTAACTTCTTTAGAAGTAGTTTTTTGAGATTTGTGTATAGTTTTTGTTACTTTAGTTAGATTTATTGGTTTTTAAATATTTATAAAATTAGAGGTAAAAATTGCATAATAAGTCACCTTGCCCCGGTCACGTGATCAGATGACAAATTTATGAACTTTTTATTTTAATATTTACTTTAAATTATTATATTTGCAAACGGGAAATTCATGCAGGCAATGAATCATTTTAATAACATAAACATACTTAGAAAGTATTATTGCTTCACGACTCATACACGACTGTTTTGTAATAACTCAGGGCTTTCAAAACGTTCGCTATGTTGCCCCGCTTTCCCCTACATGTTTTGACTCGAGTAAAACAGGGTAAAATGAAATAACGGGTAGAATGAAATAGTTATGAAAAGGGCTGTGGAGTTGGAGTCGGAGTCGCAGAGTTGCGACAATTTTACCGGAGTCGGAGTCGCTAAAAAATATCTCGACTCCGACTCCGATAGTAAAATTTCTTGGTATTGCACGTGGATGTACAAAACATTCAATTAACCTTATGTTCATACTAAACATCAAAAAATGTTTCATAAACTTGTCAAAAAAAAAATTTCATCTTACCGGGCAATATTTTTTAAAGAATTCAAAGAATTTTTCAAAAGTTTTGCTTTGGAGTTGGAGTCGGAGTTGGAGTCGGAGTCGGAGTTGTACTCAAAAAATTTCAACAACTGGAGTCGGAGTCGGAGTCGTTACTTTTTTTTTACGACTCCACACCCCTGGTTATGACAATGTTTATTCTTTCGTTCTTAATTAACAATTGAATTTTTTTTGCAAGTATTTTTTGATTATATTGTCGAGAATATTTTTCTGAGTAAGTAAAAAATTTTGTTAAAAATTTATAAGTTTTCGAATGCGTAATAAGATTTTTTTTATTTGTTTGAAAGGGAACTTAAAACTCTCAAAAAATTAAATTCGGTATCATTGAACTTAAAATGTTTACTGATACAACTTTTTACGCTGATCAAGAATCTTTTTTCAAAATTAAATTTGCTATTTAGGAAAAAAAAGTTATGAGTTAAAAACGGAAGCAAAGTATTGTGGGGTTGAAAGAAATACACTAATAAATAAATAAATACGAAACAATAACTTAATTCTTAAAAGCGGCTTTTTTAAATTAGGTCTCAAGTGATTAATAAATCTCCAACTATAAATTTTTTGTATAAATTTTAATAAACGAATTTTTTTAACTGAATTTAAATGACTTTTACTTACCGCTTTTATAAAATGGTTTTAATAAATGTATGAAACATGATAGTTACTCTCTTGTTAATTGCGGTCACCTTGTCTGCAAACAACCTTCAATATTGTAGTAACACCGGCTATTCAAAAGCAAATTTAAAAAGAGGTTGCAAAACAAATGCAATCAGCCCAATCACTTGCAGCAGCTTTGCAACAAATGTTTCGTACCCAACACGTTGACACGCAAAAAGAAAAAATGTAGATGAGCTAAGATTTGAAGGGAAGTGTCTCAACAAACCTGAAATACTTGAAAGGTCGAAAGATACTAAGAGCAAAAAAGCAGCAAAGCAAGCTATAAAACAACGTAAGCTAAGCTCTAATGGAGAACAGCAAATAAACCAATCATCAAGTCCAAAATATTAAGTCGAAAATATTAGCTGCAAACAAATTCAAGTGTAAAAAGTGTCGAAAGGTTTTGGGCGAAACTTCAGCAAGTCAAAATATGGAATGGTACCAGTGTGAAAATTCAAATTGCAAGGTTTGGTTTTGTCAAACATGGATACTAAAGCGATACGTAAAAGGCGCTGAGTTTTATTGCACCAAAAAGTGCCGCACAAGTGAAAACTCAAATCAACCTCCAGTACCTCTAAACGACTCAAAATCATCACAAGTATAAAAAAGTTTATTTTATTTGATTGATTTTTTTAAATCATTATTATTGATTGTTTTTTTAATAGTTATTACTGATTGCTTTTTGTTTTTAATAAAGTGTTGTTTTAATTACACTTATATTTACGTATTTCATTCTCCTTGAATGTCAGTGTAGAATGGAATTTTTTTTTTTAAACTAATAAAGTTTGATAAAAAATTTTATAAAAAAATTGTTAGATTTTTATATATTTAAATACAGCTGAATACTCTTTACAACTTTAAAAATAAAAAATGGAAATTTTTTTTTTTTCCGTAAAAAATTAATAATTAAAATCCTTAAATATTCCATTCGACCCCATTTTACTCTATATCATAGCCATCGTCAGTTAAAATATATTAAAATGCTTAAATTAAATTATTAAAATTAAGTTGAACTAATAGAGACCTTATAATTAATCCAGCCCGCATCTATGGTCTTCCAAAATTACATAAGATAATTTCTTCTGAAGATAAAATAAGTTTCAGACCTATCGTATCATCCAGTAGTACTTATATTTATCAATTAGCTAAATTTTTTAGAGAAATCTCCACTAATATCTTTGGAATTCTGTAATAAAGATTTCTTCACTTTTTTTAAAGAAGTAAACCAAGCTAGCCTTCATTAACATTTCTTAGTATCCTACGATATTACAAGTTTATATACCAATCCCAGTGGGCACAAGAACGTTTTGCAAACGTTTTTTAATGGTCCCGTAAAAACGTTTTTTAATGGTTTTTTAAACATCCATATGAAACGGTGAACGGACGTTTTTTTAAAAACGTTTTTTAATAGACTTACAAAAACGTTTTTTATTGGTTTTTTGAACGTCTATAATGAAGCGGTGAACGGACGTTTTTCTGAAAACGTACAGAAAAAAAAACTTTTCACAAGTGAAAACTTAGGTCTAACAGTCTAGATCCGGATAAATAACTAAAAGTTTTAACATTTTGTATTTATTTACAATTTAAGCATACAAAACATAACAGTTTTTTTGCTATTCTATTAAGCTATTTATTCTACTATTCTCTTTAAACAACCGCCTTTTAACTTATCGACCATTTCGAATTTTGCTGTATGTGACACTTATGTTTCTAAAAAAGAAAAATGCCATAAAAATCTTTCATGCATTTCACTAGCTTGTAAAAAAAAAAATGCATCAAAATGTAAATTATAAAAATAAGAAATGAGTAATGGAAAATATCACACAGTATTTTAAAGAACCAAATAAAAATTTAAAAAGTACCTTTAATTATTCTACTCAATAAAGTTTTTTCATAATTTAAGCATACAAAACATAACAGTTTTTTTGCTATTCTATTAAGCTATTTATTCTACTATTCTCTTTAAACAACCGCCTTTTAACTTATCGACCATTTCGAATTTTGCTGTATGTGACACTTATGTTTCTAAAAAAGAAAAATGCCATAAAAATCTTTCATGCATTTCACTAGCTTGTAAAAAAAAAAAATGCATCAAAATGTAAATTATAAAAATAAGAAATGAGTAATGGAAAATATCACACAGTATTTTAAAGAACCAAATAAAAATTTAAAAAGTACCTTTAATTACTCTACTCAATAAAGTTTTTTCATAATGATCTATTTCCATAAGTTTGATATAGCCTTGTTATATCATTTATTTTATCATAATAAATTTATGAAGCTTAAAACTCAGTCTATTCCCCCAGGATATCCACTGCAGATAAAGACTTTATAAAACTTTAGGCATAATAGTTCCATATATATTGCAGATTGAAAACCTATAAGAAAAAAAATGTCAAACTAAGTAAAATATTAACAAAAAACTGTTGTGAAAAACAGAAAATTAAATTAAATAAAATAAACATCTTTTAAAAAAGGAAAAGACAACATGCAGCAATTTATCGCTGAAATTTTTTTTTTAACTTGTTGAAGAAATGTTTCATCTATTATTTATAATGTATTATTATGTATAATGTATTATTTAGCAACTTGTTAAAAATACATTCACATTTTTAAATATTTGAAAAACATTTATCTGGTTTCATTTAGCATAAAATGTTGATGAACTTACATTTGGCAAAACTTTGCACTTTAATATCAGGACTTGCTTCTCTAATGTGCAAACAATATTGATGTTTCACTTATTGTTCTAAAAATGATAATAAAAAAAAAAAATTACTCACTTTAATCTTATATATAAACTTACATTAAAGTATTTAGTATGTTTGCCTTCCGGTTAGGCTAAAAAAAAATCATGGCTCAAAGTTATTTCTACTAAAAGTTTTACTTTATAAATAACGTAGAGCAATTGCTAACTGGAGTAATAACTGGAATAATCTAGATAGAAATAGCTTTATACCTTTATTAAAAGATTTACTTATGAAATGATTGTAACATAAACTTACTTTAAGTTAGATTGCGATCATTTTATAGTAACTATACTTGCATCTTTGTTACTCATAATTGAAAATGGTAGTTTAACTTTTTTCAGTATATATATAACAGGCCTTCTTACGAGATTTCGCTGCGTAACGGAAAAGCGAAACGTGAATTAATGTGACTTTAGTCAATAAAGATATTTATTAACATTGTTAAAATGTGACTTTAGTCAATAAAGATATTTTTTGTGACTTTAGTCAATAAAGATATTTTTTAACATTGTTAAAAGTTAAATTACGTCAGTTGCGTTTTTACTTCATTGTAATTAAATTTAAAATGACATTAAAAACTATTGTTAGTCTTTGAAACGAAATAGCTTTAAATTGAACAATGTTGTTATATAAAAAAAAATTTAATGTTGATTAAAAAAAAGTCTTCTTGTATTAAAATCTTAAACTTATTTAAACTTAATTTTTTTGCTTTTAAACATTCGTTTTATGGTTGTTTTTTTTTTAATATTTTTTTTTTAAAATAATTTAAATGTAACACTTGTTTATGGTTGATTTTCTTAAAGGAATTTAAATAAACGCATAGATTGGAACTAAACGCATAGTTGGGTTTTCCCCTTTTAAAAAAAAACGATTGCACTAACTGGTTTTGATAAAATAAATGTTGTAAAGAAACGAAATTTACTGCTTTTTCGGATTTGTTTTTTTTTTTATTTCCATTAAAATATTTTATTTTTATGTACAGTGAAACCTAATATTTTTTTACTCAATCCAAATTAAAAAAAATAGTGTTTTCGGTTTTAAGATGTTACAAGCAGAATTTGTTTTTAACAAATATCATTATAATTTTGAAATTTATGTATCTTATATTTATAGCTCTAGTACTAATTTTGTTTTTAAAATAAAATAAAGATAAATTGGGCTTTTAAAGAGTTTATTTACTGATCGCGTTATTTTTAATAGGTTTGTTTTATAAAAAAATTCTTCGGCAAACGGCAAAGGGAAAACCTTAAAACAACATTTTAAACTCGAGTTTAAAAATATTGACGTCATTTATTAACTTGTAGTTATAAAATAAACAAAGCGCTTTTGTAAATAATGAATGAAACTGTAAAATAATGGAATAATAGAAACTGGAAAATAATGCGCTTTTGTTAAGCGCATTATTTATTTTATAACTTATTTTATAATTCAGACCAGTATTTGAAACTTACCTGAAACTTAACTAAAATTAAAATAAAGTTATATGTAATACGAACATTTTAAAGTAACTTGAATTAAATTTATTAAATCTTTTTTTACTTTGGAAATTTTATCATAAAAAAAACGGAGCATTTTAAAATTATTTGTTAATTTTAATTTATTTTTAATTTTAATTAATTTGTTAATTTTAATTTATTTTATTTGTTAATTTTTAATTTAATTTGTTAATTTTTAGTTTGTTTATTTTTAATTTGTTAATTTTAATTAATTTTATTTATTTTTTAATTAATTTGTTAATTTTAATTTATTGTTAATTTTAATTTATTGTTAATTTTAATTTATAAATTATTTTATAATTTTAAAATGCTCTGTTTTAAAATTAAATGAAAGAATTTTAATTAAATTTAATAAATTTATTCACTAAAAACTATATTTAATAAAAAAATATTTAAATTTGATAAAATAAATTAAAAATATTTCTTTTTTTAAATTTGATTGTTTTTAAACTTATGAAATATAAAACTTAATATTAAATATGATAAAAAGTTTAAACTTAAAACACTTATTTTTTTTTAAACTAATTTTTAACAACAACAACAATAAAAATAATTAAACAAATTTTTCTTTAACAAAAAATCTATTAGTTTACAATTGCGGTTAAATGCTTTTTCTTACGACTTTATTTTCTTCTGAATAAACGTCACATAAACGGTATCAAATGATAATTTTAATATTCTAAAAGATTTAAGTTTTTGCGTAACGCAAAACTGCTGAACGCGTAGGCAAAATCGCCTTTTCGCAGGTAAAATGAGAGCTGTGTAACAAGGCTTGATATAAAATAATTTTACATACATAAAAAATGATTATAAATAAGCACACTTTTTGCAAAACAGTTTTTACAAAACTGTTTCTTAGATTTTAGAACACTTTAAAGTTTTGAAACAAACTTTATGCATATATCACACATCTCTATTGTAGTTTAGTCAAGATAAAGTTTTGTCAATATATATTATACTTACTTGTATAATTTATACTGACAAAATAAAGTACTAATAAATAATAAATATTTGTGTATTTTTCTTCCTAATTTACAGTCATGTTCTTCATACAGTCATGTTCTTCTTATCATGCTTGTATAACCAATTATTGTTACAACAGAATAAAATAGTAACAATCATTGGTTATAAAAAGTTTAAACCATATCAAGTAATATGTATGCACTGAAACCAATAAATATTTATTATGTTTGAAAAATCTTGTCTAACTGTAGCTTTATCTATTTATCTATCATATAGCTGTATATCTATCAATCTATTTATCTATATATTTATATATCTATATATTTATATATCTATATCTATCTATCTATCTATCTATATATATATATATATATATATATATATATATATATATATATATATATATATATATATATATATATATATATATATATATATATATATATATATATATATATATATATATATATATATATATATATATATATATATATGTAAATGAGATTGTAATGCGATTGAGAAAATACAACAACAATTTTTGTTCGATCTTCATATTTGAGATAGCTAAGTGATGAAACAATTTTAGTTGCAACTAAAATTGTTTCATCACTTAGCTATCTCAAATATGAAGATCGACTTATTGCTTTAGGCTTAACAACCTTAACTGAGAGAAGAAAAAGGGGAGATTTGATAGCACTATACAAACTTATGCATGGTATTGACAAAAAAAACATAAGAAAGTCTTTTAAAAAACTTGTTAAAAATTCTTTAAGAGGGCATTGTTTTAAATACCACAAAGAATTCGCTAAACATCCTTTGAGGGAACATTTTCTTTTTAACAGAATTGCGAATACATGGAATTTACTTCCGATTGAAATTGTAACAGGAAAGTCTGTTAACTGTTTTAAAAGAGGTCTTGACTGCTGGCTCAACAGCAATCAAGCATAACTGCTGTCATAGTGTGTGCGACATCACACTCACTGGATTTGTCCAGTACAACATTAACTACTACTACTAATATTACTATATATATATACATATATATATATATATATATATATATATATATAATATATATATATATATATATATATATATATATATATATTCATATATATATATATATATATATATATATATATATATATATATATATATATATATATATATATATATATTACTATATATATATATATATTATATATATATATATATATATATATATATATATATATATATATATATATATATCGATAATAATTTTATTCAAAAAAAAAAAATTTGCAAAAATATACTTTAAAACCCCTGTTTTGATGAAGACGGGGTTTTTTGTTATGAAAAAAACGAAATTATTTTTTTTCTTCAGTTTTGAAATAAATCAAATAGTTTAGAAGAAAAAAAATTTCAACAATATTAGCATCCGTCATAAACTTGAATTCAAAGAGGAACCTCAAAAACTCATCTAAATTAAAAAAAAAAAAAAAATTAAGGTTCTTTTTTCACCAAAAGACATCGATTCGCAGCTTAGGCAAATCAAATTTCGAAAATTTTAAAATTACTTCACTTTTTTTTTATATTGGAAAAATATCTGATTTAAACAAAGACTAAACCCAATCATTAAAAGATATTTTAAATCGGTCACTGTTAGATTGGTTTTTACTTCATTTAAAATTTAAAATTTTTTTTCCACCAAAGATTTTTTTCCTACAGACTTTACTTCATTCGTTGTCTGTAAATTTGAATGCGCAGGCTGTAAATTCTATTATATTGGCGAAACTACTCGCCATTTAAAGACACGTATAATCGAGCACCAAAAAGGGATAAAAACTCATACGATTATAAACATATTCATTCAAATGAAAACTGTTTTAATAGTTTTAATTATCTTAATTTTTCAATTTTGGATTCGGCCTCCAACAAATTTATATTAAAACTCAAAAAAAGCATGTACATAGAGTGGGAAAAAACCACTATTAATGAACAAATGAACCATGTAAAGATGACAATCTAGTTCCTTTTAACATTACCGGTTCTTTTACCTTTTTAAAACATTTGTTTCATTTTTTAATTGCATTTTTATTGTATTTTTATTATAAGGTCTCTATTAGTTCAAATTTTAATAATTTGATTTGCTTTTTAATATATTTTAACTGATGATGGCTATGATATAGGCGAAACATGTTTATAAAAAATAAATGATTTAAACAAAAATTCAAAAATTTGTCTGATTTATTAGAATATTTACACAATTTGTGCTGAAGTGAAACTCGCAGTTTTTTTTGCAAATCATCCTTATTTGACATAAGTATAAACATATAAATGTTTGGAATTTCGGGGGCCCCGGTGCAAACTAAGTTTAAGGCCCTTTAAAAATAAGTAACCTAAGCGAAGATATTTTTTATTGATATTCTTTAATTCCTAGTCGATTGTGTAATTTTAATGAGCAGTATTCATTTATATAAAGAAATATCCGATTAATAAAGAAATACAAAAATGTGAAACATAATGTGTGATTGATTCATTTAAAACATAAGGTGTGATTGATTCAATTGATTCATTGTTGTTCTTAAATAGGTTTTAATCAGATTAAGTTTAGAAAAGCTTCACTTCCATGAGGCTATAGTACTTCCCATAGTTTCTATAATTCGCAGAGCCACACATAGATTTGGAAATACATCCATCAGCTTGTTATTTTTTAAATATTTTAATGGTGTCACTTTTGATGGAAGTACAGTTGAAACCATTTGTAATTCAGAAAATAATTCTTTTTTTATCAACGTCAGAATATCCCTCAAAAGTTAGTTTGTTTTGTAAATCAGGGCAGTTTTTTTTGAGTTCTAAAGAATTTACCTTTTGTAAAGAATGTACATTAAATAAAAAACCAAACACTGATGCATAATCATTTATTTGATTAAACCTTTCCTTCAGTGAGACAACTACATTATCAATAAGAACATTGAAGAATTCTATTCAATAATGTTTAAAAAATTAACTAATTTTTTGCGCG